GCATGTAGCTGACACTCTGCACTGCACAGGCAATACACAATAGGATTAAACTTCACTTTTATTTACTTTAAATAATTTCTGGGTCTATACCTCACAGCTATATGTCAATTATGAAGCTGGTGAATGAACCAGATTCTATACATCTTGACTCATACCTTTCTTCCTGGTCTGCCAATTTCCCCCTGGCACAGGAAAAAAAGATTTTAGTCATGTAGATAGCAAGTGAAGAACAACAGCTCATAAATGAAAGTACTTAAAAACAGAAATGGGAAGATCTGTGTGTCTTGGACTTTGCTCGATGTGCTAAAAGAGTCAGTATTTATAACACAGAATAAATAGCATCTGCAGTTACTCAGGGGTCCCAACTCAGATTCCTTCTAGGCCGCGTGGCAGCACGGCCCCACAGCTGCTTAATGAGCTCCTCCCAGCCAGGGTCTCAGGGCTCCGGGCACAGAGCTGCGTGGCTGAAGGACGGGCACTTCTCCCTCAGTGACAGCAGCAGCTCCCTGCTGAGGACATGTCCCTGCTGGCTGGGAGAGACTTGCTGCTCTGTCCTCAGCAGGGAGCTGCTGCTGTCACAGAGAGAAGTGCCCCTCCCCCAGCCACGCAGCTCCGTGCCTAAGTCCTGAGCCCCTGGCTGTGTGGGGCTCTTTAAGCAGCTGCAAGGCTGTGCTACTGTTGCAGTTAAGAAGGAACCTTACTGGTCCCAATTCAGTAATTCCCCCTCACCCCCATACAGCAAACACTTAAAATATGCTCAGCTTTAGGTTCATGCTTGAAAGTAAGCATCTGCTTAAGTACCTTGTTGCATGTGTATGTACTTAAGAACATGCTTAAATATTTTGCTTAATTGAGGCCAAAAAGATTAATGTGCAAGCTGTTTATTATATCTGAATGGACCCATATATTAGACATTACATAGGATGGCTGTGCTTCCCATTTCTTAAAATAGGATATGATTTTCAAAAGTTACTATGCCACTTGGGACCATTGACTTCCAAAGCGATTTGTGCTCTTTACATGCTTTTGAAAAGCCCATCCATAGAGTATCTGCAATCACCCCGTCTTACAGCATTTTGTAGATATAGAAAGTGTCGGCATGAAAAACCATAAAATACGCTACAATGAGACTGCATCATTATAGTTGAAGCTTTAAATTACACCCTGAAGCTGATCTACAGAATCCAGCGGGAATTAAAACGACCCCCCACTAGGTGATCAGATAACAAGCATGAAAAATTAGATCAGTTTGGAAATAATAGGAACTTTTATAAGACAAAGCCCCAAATATTGGGATGGTCCCTTTAAAACTGGGACATCTTGTCACTTAAACTGCACCCATCCAAAGAACCCACTACCACCACCACCCCAAAAAAAGCGAAACAAAACTAAGCAAAAGAAACCCGCCACCACCTATTCTGTCTCTCCCACCACTCTTTTCTGTCTCTTCTCTATCCTACAAACAAACAAACAAACTCCAAAAGAGTTGGTACTTACTTTTTCTCCTTTTGGTCCCATCACACCAGGAATTCCTTGTGGGCCCTATAAAGAAAATTGAAGACAATTATAAACTTACATAAAAAGAAAATATTCATTTGTTGTTTCCCTCCCTTGAGCCCTGTCCACCCATCTGTTCTGAGAACTGAGATTTCCTATGAAAAGTGACTTCTTCAGTTCACATGTTGTTAGAATTGTAGAATCAGGGGGTTGGAAGAGATCACAGGAAGTCATTGAGTCCAACCCCACGCCCAAAGCAGGACCAATCCCAACTAAATCATCCCAGCCAGGGCTTTGTCATAGAATCATAGAACACTAGAACTGGAAGGGACCTCGAGGGGTTATTGAGTCCAGTCCCCTGCCCTCATGGCAGGGTCCAGTACTGTCTAGACCATCCCTGGTAGATGTCTATCAAACCTGCTCTTAAATATCTCCAGAGACGGAGATTCCACAACTTCCCTAAGCAATTTATTCCAGTATTTAACCAAGCCAGGACTTTAAAAACCTCTAGGGATGGAGATTCCATCACCTGATGTAAGCAACCCTTCCAGTGCTTCACCTGCCTCCTAATAAAGAAGTTTTTCCTAATATCCAATTTAGATCTCCCCCACTGCAACTTGAGATCATTGCTCCTCATTCTGTCATCTATTACCAGTTGAAGGCTGCTATCAAATCCCCCCTCACTCTTCTCTTCTGTAGACTAAATAAGCCCAAATCCCTCAGGGCTTTATGCCGCGCTGCCAATTTGAAATGCCACGTGGAGCCAGGGTCAGCTGGGCACCCCCCAGCTGATCCCAGGCTTCAGGGTGACATTTCTGCAGAACTCAGGATCAGCTGGGGAGTCCCCAGCTAACCCTGGGTTCTGGGGAAATGCCACATGGAGCCCAGGATCAGCTGAGGAGTCCCCCATTGATGCTGGCTCTGTGTGGCATTTCAAATCGGCAGCACGGCATGAAGCCCGGGGTCAGCGGGGGACTCTGAGTCCCCCACTGACCCTGGGCTCCATGCTGTGCTGCTGTTTTGAAATGCACAAGAGCCCCCGCTGGGGACTCTTGTACATTTCAAAGCTGACGCCCGCGTGCAGCCCGGAGTCAGCGAGACTTCCCACTGGCCTCTGGCTGCACATGGAGTTCCACATTCGTCCTTTGAAATGTACAAGAGCCCCAGCGGAAAGTGCCTATCGACTAGTTGAGTAGTCGATGGAAATTCCATCAACTACTCAACTAGTAAATTAACTGTTACTTAACATCATTAGTGCAGAATAAAGGGGAATAATCACTTTCCTAGATCTGCTGGCAATGCTCCTACTAAAAAAAGCTCCAGTTCAGGCTTGTCTTTAATCGTTAGTGCTGAATGGCAAGTAGTGGAGAGCCCTGGGGAGGTGAATGCAGAAAGGGTAATTTGGAGATGGGGAAGAAATATCAAGAAAAGGAGCCGGAGCAGAGCAAAGGGGCCACACTTGAAGGAAGCTGACAGAACTCTGGAGAGCAAGTGACTGAGAGAATGCTGAAACTGGTGCACAGTGCTACAGGATCAAAAATTGAGTAGACTTGCTTGACCAAAGTGACAGTAAATTGAACAGTCTAAAATGTATTAATTAGGCTTTGCAAAAAACATTGTTATGGGAAGCGGTGACACTCTATAAAGCTTTCTTCAGAATGAAACCACTGAAATGAGTTCATTATTTCCCCTGCCACTTTGGGCCTGGGTGCACCTCAATCCCTCCTATTCTCCTCATGTGGGGGACGTAATAGTCTAGTCTCCTCTAGGCTATAATACTTGAGTCTAACTTTGGTTGTTGGCTTTAGTATATGAGTGCTGGGTGAGATTGGAGGCCTGCAATATTCAGGAAGTCGGATAAGATTTTCTAGTGGTGTCTTCTGAACTTCAGCTTTATGACACCTTATCTTGGACAGGACATCTCAGTCTTTTCATGGCTGCAACTCCCTTTTCTTTACCAAGATCTCCTCACGTCCTGCAACTTCCCTCTCATATAGCCAGGACTTTGCTTCCATTTAACATCAAGAGAAGGGTCAGATGGCGTTAACTATAGGGATCAAAACCTCTAAGCTGAAAATACTTGACACTGGAAATTTTGCTGTGATTTATTAGAACTTCTCATTTTAGTGAACTAATATGATTGTTTTGTTTATTTTGTCCTCTGCCCCAAACAAAAAGAGTTTCCAATGGCAAAATCTAACATTCATTTTTTGAAAAATAGTTGCAAAATAAATTATATTTGTTTCTTCATAAATGTAACAAAAAGGCCAAATATTTGCAGGTTACATTCATAGGGTGAAAATGAAATGCACCCTGCAGAAAAATTTCTGCTGATTCCTACTGTTTCCCATTAGCAAGAAAGTTTCTAAACAGATAAATGGGTCTGCTAGAATACTCATTCTTGATCCTCCAGTAGAAAACAACAGAGACCAATATTAAAAGAAAACGAATGGAAACTAGTTGAAAACTTAAAATGATGGCTCCTCAAATCTCCATGGAGGTAAGGAGTCAAAACTTTTTAGGATGGTTTAAAACAGATGAAAATAAAGTGCAAAGTCAAGTCCTTGCCTGGAGGGCATTAGGCTGAGAGAGGAAATAGACAAATATGTTATTTATGCCAACTTTTAAAAAAGTTAAACCTTTGTTTTAAATATTGTGAATTATGAAATATTGTTTTAAAAAACTGCAACACTTTTGTAAGGAGCAACAGGTTAGAGGATAGAAGGGTATTTTTAAAGATACAGTACTAACTTGGGGGCCGGGAGGCCCTGAAGGGCAGTTGAATTCTGGTTCACGTGAAGCTTCTATTATTTGAAGTTCTTTACATAAATTTTTCATATCATGGGTAAGCAGCTTCTAAACAAAATGAAATACATAGAGACATGCACACACATTAGTACAGATCATGGGAGGTCGTGTGAACAATCAATCAGCAACAGTACAGATATGTAGGGCATTTAATTCCACCCACATACAAGGATCCAGTGCAGGCTTGTGGTTTATCTGGCATTTCTCTTAATGGATACTTAATTGTCATCAATTCAGCATATTGTCCCATCTTGCGTTTCATCCTCCCTTATACTAGCACCGTCGCAACAGTGTGACAGCATCATAGCATGCCCTCTCAGACTGCGTGGGACTCTGATCTATTCTTCAGCTTGATTCTGCTCCCTACAGGCACAATTTATGAGCAAAAGTGCAGCTCAGAAATAGCCTCTTTGCTTAAAAAATACAAACTATATTCACCTGAGCTCTGGGATGAGCAAACTTCTCTGTAGTGATACTTAACTGGGTAAATATTCATTCATTACAGGCCAGATCCAACTCCTTTGAAAGTCAGTAGAAAATCTCCCACTTATTTCAGTGAGTATTGGATAAAGCCTTACATAGACATAGAGGCTGTGTCTACATTGGCACCCTTTTCCGGAAAAGGGATACTAATGAGACAAGTCGGAATTGCAAATGCCCCGGGGATTTAAATTTTCCCCGCAGCATTTGCATGAACATGGCTGCCGCTTTTTTCCGGCTCGGGGCTTTGCCGGAGAAAAGGGCCAGTCTAGACAGGTATCTTTCGGAAAATAAACCCTTTTCCAGAAGATCCCTTATTCCTACTTAAAATCAGGAATAAGGGATCTTCCAGAAAAGGGTTTATTTTCCGAAAGATACCTGTCTAGACTGGCCCTTTTCTCCGGCAAAGCCCCGAGCCGGAAAAAAGCGGCAGCCATGTTCATGCAAATGCTGCGGGGAAAATTTAAATCCCCGGGGCATTTGCAATTCCGACTGGTCTCATTAGCATCCCTTTTCCAGAAAAGGGTGCCAATGTAGACACAGCCAGACTGTATTCAGGTTAGAGCATGCACCAGGGCCCAGAAGAGTAGCTTATTCTTAAGGCAGAGAAGGAAAACATAGAGTATCTGTCAAAAAATATTAAGCACAGTACTAGAGGTGGTACTCTGAGCCACAGTACTCGGCCATCAATAACTGGCTTGCATTAGCAAAGCTGCTTGCTTCATGCCTGGGGTCATACGAACACTTAATATTGAAATGCATAAGAATAATGATATGGTGTAACTGGGATTAACAAAACAGGTCTTCACTTACAAAAGCGAAGAGCCATTCCTGAAGCAAAAGTTTAGAATTAAACCAACATGCTGTTGCTAAAACCTCCTCAGCAGAGAATATTGGGGCTCAGTTCATGAGGATTCTAGCAACATGACAATTTGTTTTATATACATTTTTAATAAGAAAATAATGATAAGATACACCTTCAGGAAAAATGTCTCTACTTTTGATTATACAGAAGGATTTAAACAGTAGCTTTAAGTACTGTAGCTGACTAGGGCCATGTCTACACTACGTGAAAGATCGACACTGCCATGCTTGATCTTCTGAGGTTCAATTTTTTGGGTCTAGTACAGACCCACTAAATCAAACTCAGAGGGTGCCCCCAGTCAGTGCCAGTACTCCTTCTCATGAGGAGCAAGGGAAGCTGACACAAGCGTTTGCTCCCACTGACTTCCTGTGTGGATGGTGCAGAAATGCAATTTAAGATATATCTGCTCCAGTGATGTAATTAATGTAGATGGAGTTGCGTATCGTAAGTCGACCTTTCACTGTAGTGTAGATCAGACCTAAGAGACTAAACAAAAAATAAATTACTCATCTAAACACTGGGAAGAACTTCAGAATATTAGAAAGTTCTGGCTTCTTCAGTTTGATGGAGTAGTGCTACAAACCTAATCCAAAACCCACAGAAATCAAATGGGCATTTTAGCATTGACTTCTAAGGATTTAGATCACACCCTCTCTACATTATTAACAAACTGTCCATGGTGTCCTATTTAAATGTAAGGGGATGGACTAGATCAGCGGTTCCCAACTGCCGGGCAAGGGACTGCTGTGAGGCCACGGACCTCTGGCTGCCGGGCCATGGGGACTGGGGCTGGGGTACACTACTTTTGCTGTGACTGTTGGGAGAGGAGTGTCCTGTCCCACCTCTCAGCCAACCAGCACTGGGCAGGGGCAGGGGCTGGGTCTCCTCCCGGGCATGAATCAGCACTTCCTTGTGGGGTAGGAGGGCCAAGCCGTGGTGGGAGGGGAGGTGCTGGGCGGTGTCCCTCAGCCCTGGCTTCCAGAGCCACTGCGATGCAGGCAGCAGCGCAGGGCTAGGTGAGTGGGGCAGGGCAGGCACTGGGGGCTCCAGGGGTGGGGCTAGTGCTGGGGGGCTGTGGAGGCTGAGCTAGTAGTGGAGGAGGAGATGGGAGCAGGGCTGGCACTGGGGGGGCTCTGGGGATGGGGCTAATATTGGGGAATGGCACTGGGGAGGCTGTGGGGGGGTTGGGTGTAGTGGGGCTCTGGAAACAGGAGGTTAGCACTGGGGGCTCTGGTGGTGGGGACACAGAGGGGGCTGGCTCTGAGACATTTGGGATGGGGGGCTGGCACTGGGGGACTCTGAGGATGGGAGGCTGGCACTGGGTGGGTTGGGTGCAGGGGACTCAGGTCAGTGGCTGGCACTAGGGGATATTAGAGGGGGGGCTCTAGGGTTAAGGGCTGGCACTGGGGGCTGTGCTTCTGGTGGACTGGTAATGTTCTATTTGCATATTAATCATCTGCATAATGAATATTAAACTATGCAAATAAAATGTTGCCAGTCTGCAAAAAGTTTGTGAAAGGATTTGCTGGTTCCCCGTATCAAAAAGATTGGGAACCGCTGGACTAGATGATCTCCTGAAGCCCTACATTTCTATGATTCTAAATGATCAGTACACTATGATAACTTATGTAGTACTGGAAAGCATCAGAGGAATTGCCTTGGCTCTCAAAGAAAAATAGTTCACAATAGTTGGGAGTATTAACAAAGAAAAATTAACTAGAGACCAATGGGAAAATTCTCACTCCTAGGAAGAAAATGCATGGCCGCTAGTGTAGGCTGGTGACACCTATACATGAACAGAAACACTGATGTAATAAGAAAGGCACAGAGCCAATATGTATCACTGACTAATGATCATAACTATACAGATCTGATTCAAAGCAAGGATTCCATACACAGTGCTTCTTTTACTTGAGGCAGGGAGACAGAGTGTATTGGATCATGATGCTCAGGAAAAGCTGATGGAAATTCAGTAGGGAGCTGTGACCTATTTGTCCAAAACAAACAAAGATGGAGGTGTTGAACCAGTATCAAATTACTTACAGCCACGCACTGGCTCACTAACAATTGGAGACTGAGTCAGCATCCATTCAAAAGGATAACAATAAAGTGCATTTCCTGGCATAGCACCGTATGGCAAGATGGGATTGCTGGGCTACAGCAACCAGAAAGTGCTAAGAAAGGATATGCGAGTATTTTTTAAGAAAAATAGAGAGGCAAGAGAAATGCTCCCAGGCAATACTTACAGAATTCCAGCCCTGTCTGAAATATGGTGGTGGAAATAATGGCGGTGGAGGAGGGGCAAGAAGACAGCATGCTCTGTTATTAATTCGTTTCTTCTGTTCCAAGCAAGGGAGGTCTGTTCAAAAGAAATACTCAGCCATTACCAATGGTCAAACACTGCTGGAGTCCAATGGCTTGAAAAATGCAGGCAGTTCTTCTAGAATGGTTGATGGGCAGTCCCATGAGACCCACTCTCTCTCCATAAAGGCTCTGAATCAACAACGGGCTCAGCTTTAAGCATATGAGTAGTCCAATTGAAGTTCAAGAGATCACTCCTGTGTTTAAAGCTATACTTTGATGTAACTAAGCCTAAATACTTAACATGGCACCTAAATGGGACTATTGCAGAAAGTTCCAAAGAAAAAAAATATATATAATGCTTTTTAGGACCTTTTGCTAGCTAGACACTGGTAAACGACAAAACCTTACCTTGAAAACACAGCTGTCATCCACAATGGTTTTTAAAAGAGTCACAAGTTAAAGGAGTTTTACTGTCATTCTGTACAGTATCTACTGTCTAATAATGCCAAATTTGATTCATCTAGTGAAACTTAGGTGAATATTTGCTCACATGGACAATACATTTTTAATGCCCACTTCAACCTGAAGTCAATAGAAGCATTGTTATTAGGAATAGATAGCATGAATAGTTCAGATGATGAGCAGCTTAAATAGCTGGAATAGTTAATTTAATTAATAGTTAAATAGCTGGAATAGTTAAGATTACTCAAACCCAGATCATGTTTGGCTGGTAAATATTCAGCCTGGGGATTCGTGTGAGGAGGGAGGATTTAAGGTTGATATTTGGGTTTGTAGGACTGAATAGCATGTGAATATTAGAAATGCTTCCTTTAGGTGTCATCATTCTGGCTCTCCTGTGCGTTAGTATTGTTGAAACAAATATTAGAATGTATTTAGACTGGAGCGAATGCTTGTGAGCTCCTACGTGCATTAATCTCAGTTATGACATCTGTAGCCTAAATTGTAAGGTAATATTTCAGTGATTGTATCGCGAGCCTCTGTAACTGCATAAGCCACCAGAAAGAAGAGCCATATTAATTAGTGTGAAGGGCTGATTTTCAAAGAAAACGCCCATTGATATTGCGTGTGTCATCACAACTGGAATTTCCCTAGATACCATCTATCAGAAGACAAAAGACTTTTGCTGTTCTGCTCTCCTACCCATGAAGATGAGTCATTCAAGTGGACTCTTCCTATCAGCTGAGTTTTTGGCTCAGAGCACATGGCAGAAGGGAGATAAAATCCCCACATACAAAAGGAACTAGGTATCTCTATGCCTTTTGCTCTCTGGGGGACTTAAGGGGATTCTAGGCATAAGCAAGAGATCCCCAGCTGCTTAGCCTGGCGTAGCCCTAAAGGACATACAGAGTTTGCTGATTATAGAAGCTTTTGTAATTTAAGATTGTAACTCATTTGTGTATCTATCTAGCTTTAAACTTGTATGTACGTGTATGTACTTTTTAATACATCTTAACATAGCATAGCATTGGCTATGAGCGTGTTCTTTGATGTGAGTTCCAAGGTGCAACTGATCTGCGATAAGTGACTGGTCCCTGGGGACTGGGAGTAACCTGAATATTGCTGCGATTCCTGGGGTAAGGGGCCCTCTATTACAAAGGTATGCTCACTGGTGTGACGAGATAGATCGGAGCACCCCAGAGGCCTGTCTGGGGCCCCAAGCAAAGGCAGTTATAGTGTCTGAGGAATTTCCACTTTAGGGTTGGTGACATCTAAGTATAGAACTCACAGCCAATTTGGACTTTGTGCCCTGGTTCCTAAACATCAGCCCTGAGGTTGGTCCTTATGCTCTTGAGTCACTGCAGGAGGCATGACAATAGCAATGGCCATGAATTACCGAGTTGAGGGCTTTTCCTTTAACATTTCCAAGTAGCATTTCAAATTGGTTATTAAGTGAAAGGAGCAGGGACAAAAAACTTCATCAATTTCCCACCTAAGATGAATAATTTTCATTCAGCTAAAGTGCAACCAATCAGCACGCATTATTTGCATATATCATTTCATTGGTGGCCATTACTCCTATTCTCCATGTTGCTCAATTCTGAGGATACAAAACCTAGTGACTTGTCACATAGCTATTTTCAGCCAGAATACTCTCCTTGACACTGCTAAATGCTTGGGCACAGGATAGCTGGAGTGTCTGTCTTTTGGATGAAACTTAGAACGGAGAGCTTGCCCTCCCACAATCCTCTAAAATACCAAAGCTCTATTGGCAAGAGCCCGGGGTCCCACCCAAAGCACTGTGGCAGCCAGGTGATGGGAGAGGCTGCCCTGGAGCAGACAGGAACATGAACCTAAATGCCTCAGTTTACTGTTGATGCAATAGTTCATCTTACAGTCTCTGGGTATGTCTAGACTATATGGCTCTGTCGACAGAGCCATGTAAACTAGCTTACCCGACATAGTCAATGAAGTGGGGATTTAAATAATCCCCGCTTCATTCAAATAAAAATGGCCGCCATGCTGTGCCGACAATCAAGCTGATTTGGCACAGTGCGGGAGTCTATTCGTGGATCAGGCAACAAGCCTTTGTCGACTGCTAGGGGTGGCCCGTGACTATAGACCGACTTGGCCGTTGCCTAGGACGCTGCCTTCAACAGTGCCTGATGATGTCATGGGACACCCGGGATGCCCAATGATGACGTCATCCCATTGATGGCTGTGCAGGCGGGGGCGCTGATTGCATGTTCCGCCTGGGGCACCAGCTGCTGCAGCCCGCCTCGGACTGCTCCAGTCGACCGCTCCCTTATGCCTTGTGAAACCAGGTTTAAAGGAGCGGTCAACAAAGGCTTCCCTTGTCAACCGATCCGTGTCTAGACTCCCGCACTGTGCCGGATCAGCTGATTGTCGGCACAGCACAGCGGCCATTTTTATTTTAATGAAGCGGGGATTATTTAAATCCCCACTTCATTGACTATGTCGGGTAAGCTAGTTTACATGGCTCTGTCGACAGAGCCATGTAGTCTAGACATATCCTCTGAGACTGCTTTCAAATATATATGCTGAAGAGAAAGGATGGCATGCTGACCCCAAGATGTTCTGCAAGAAACGATTAGAGCCCGCAGATTGCTGTTCCATCCATTCCTACTATGTGCTGTGTGAAGGTCAGAGGTATTGTCGTCACTTGGGGTACATCTACACTGCATATGAGGCAAGATTCAAAAGACTGGGACTGTTCATCTTAGAAAAGAGACTGCCAAAGAGGAGACAAGGCAGAAGTCTTTAATATGAATAGTAAGGAGAAAGTGACTAAGGAACTGTGATTTACTCCTTCACATAACACAGCCAATGAAATGACTAGGCAGCAGATTTCAAATAAATATAAAGAAGCACTTTCAGGGGATGTTTTGAGGGCCAAAATATAAGTGGGTTTAAAAAATTAGATACGTTTCTGGAGGATAGGTCCATTAGTTGTCATTAGTCAAGATGGTGAGGGATGCAACACCATGTTCTGCATGTCCCTAAACCTCTCACTGCCAGAAGCTGGACCTGGACAACCCAGGACAGATCACTCAGTAAGTTGCCCTGTTTCATTCATTCCCACTGAAGAATCTGGCACTGACCAATGTTAGAGATGTATTAATATAAAATTTCCAAATTAAATTCCTAGCCAAAGAAATCTGACGTAAGTGTTGCAGATTAATTGCATCTCTAGTGGAAGCAGATAGCTGAGGACTTACATTCTAGTACTTATTTACTGGATCAGAGACTGTATTGTTCTTTTGATTCACATAACATGCCATGTAATCCAATTCTGTACTCTTCACATGAACTGGAATTTCATCATAATATCACAAAAATTACATTTAAGAGTGGGTCTTAAATCAGTCAATATCAGGACATATTCATAAGTTTCAGGTGGGTTTGTACTCAGCATGGCTAGCCCACCACCCCTTGTTTGGAAAAATATTTGAACATACAAATACAGCATAAACCCTCCAATATTCAAAAAGCAGCACCTCTAGGAAATAGCTTGAGCTGGAGGTGTATTCTGGGTACTTCCATGCAAATAATATTGAGCATTCTATTTTGCAGCGGATGTGGAAATGTGATAAAAATATCTGAAATATTGAGGCTTTGAGGATAAAAAGAACATTAAATTGCCTCCACCCAGTATGATCTCCTGAAATTGGTTTGCTTTTTAAAATTATTTCTTGCTCAGAAATATTGTAAATCTCAGCCTTGGAGATATCCTACTTGCATAGTGCATGCCATGTGTACTGAATAATAAACAAAACCACAGTGTTGCTACATCCAGCTCTGTGCATGCCACACAAGGACTGAACTTATCACAAATACTGACAGCTCAGTCACTCTTCTGCAGCCAATCAAAATACATCATCTGGATTTTCCTCTCTCTGCAGTTTTTCATCCTACTAGTTTAGGGCCTGATCCAGCACTCACTGACATTCATGGGGAGTGGCTCAGTCCCTTAGACAGCTTTAGCCTCAGTCTACAATACACAAAGAGGATGTCTGCAACAATGTGATTCCAAAAAATGTTTTCAGTAGCTACCCACCAACCAGGTCAACAGGTGTTTCACTTATTCCACTTTGACTCAGTCACAGGTCGGGGATTTGTCAATTAAGCCAGAAAAAACACTTCTGAAATATAGTTATCCAAGGCCAGAATCCAGTGATGGTTTGACTCAGCTGATGCCAGATTATACCTCACACTTTGGCTGAAAGACTCTCTGGGCCCAAGATCCAAAATAAAAACCACATTTCACAGATCTTGCTTCCAACCACTTTTCTTAAAAAGGCTATTTTCAGAAGGTGGGACCTGTTCACTTTCACCAGCAAGAGCTGCAGATTTTTATGTAAGAGGTTAGAACATTAATTAGATTGCACCAGTAGATACATAGAGTTAATTTATATTATGCAGCGTTCCTACTAAAACATTGTTTCAGCTGAGTTTAGAGGTGGGTAATTCAACCTCACAAAGAATCCATAATTAAAGAACTTTTTCAAATTTCTTCAGTCCTGGTATTAGACTTTATTTTAGATTTTATTCTATTTAGGACAAGGAAAAAGATTT